GCACTTGTGGCACTGCTGTCATAAAAAAAAGTGCAACAAACTCTCGTGCATTTGATGCCACTAATTGAGGTTAGTTTTTGCGTACGCCCGACCGCGCGAAAATGCATTTCCCACTCACCAACGCTACAAAGGGAATTATTCCCCGATTCAAAGCACCCACAAAGCTCAACTGGGGAGCTGTTAAAACAGCAGTGAACCCCCCCCACCCCCCCATATTCAAATGTGGATTTTATTTCAGGTTATAATTTATGACGTGTTTGCGTCTCACAACGGAATAGTGTATATGTGTACATCGGCTAAAAGCGTATGCGGAGCACTCGGGAAGCGTGCAATACCGAGTCCATATTTACGCGTGGGTTGGAGGGGAACGAGCATGTGGGCAGGATTGTTAGGATAATTTGTTGGGAGTTACGCACTCGTGTGAATGGATGTTACCTACAACATCGCAAATAATTATAATACGTTGAAGCCCGATATAAATCCACTACTGCATGAAAGCCTCCCCACATTGTGAGAATAGGTTATCCCCTTTTTTCTGGTAACAGGTGTTAAGATGTTAAAACACCCAAACTGAAACCGTTACAAAGAATCATGTCTGCATTAACCCCAATACTTGTGGTCAGAATGCAAACAAAAAACATACTCTGATAATATAGGCCTTGTTCCCACATTGTTCAGTCCCGGGGATTGTTTTGACCATATTTCATCATTTAAAAAAAAATTGTAAATGATGTGAATTCACTCTTCAACACACCGGTGGGCTAAAATAGTTAACTATTTGTCTTTTGTCAACGTGACACTTTTTTGCCGATTGGCCGTGTCGGGTGGTGGAGGGTTACGCCACATTTATAAATAACGCGATCTAACCCAAAAACGTGTATTATGCATATTTCATCATGCTGGTCAATGCATGCTGATGAAGCGGTGGGCTCAGAACTAGCTTTGATAACACACGCCACTGATATATGAGCGTGGCCAGGAACCAAACTCAGAAAGGGGAGTTCATAGCAATGAAGGTGAATTAATAGCAGAGTGCGCTTACCACCGTGCCACTGCCTTACCACCTGCAGTACCAGGTAAAAAAGCAATACAACAGGGGTGGACAATCTTCCTGACACTACGAGTTCACAATACCAAAATATTTATATGGCCGACAGTTAAAAGATGCACACGTCACATGGGGGTGTTCACGTGACAAATTCGCTCATGCTGGTTGGCCGTTGAGTTTCAAATTTAGAAATCTGCAGGTGGACCCTGGGAGTACTCGTGTCTGGACCCCACTGCCAGGGGCGAGTGCCCTTGGGCTGCTCCCACTTACGCAGATTTTCCTCCAACAAAGTTACGTTGAAGAGTTACAAATCAGCCGTGTCTCTGGAGGGCTGCAGCATGTGGCTCATGGGCTACGGGTTTAGGTCACCCCGATAAATTTTTCTTCCAGACTTGGTCAAATAAAAGCGCACATTACATTTCATAGTTCACACGAGGGGTGTATTTGGCATCTGCTACACTACAGTGGGGTGGAATATAAAGCGGCAGTTTGCGGCCTAGGGGCTCGGTGGTGTTCATCTGCTCGTCAACAGAACAGATGTATTGCAGCACATATCAGTAGATTTACATATGAATGAAATACCTGCTTTGCATACCAATAGAATGCACCTGGTTGACATGGAAAATGTTGGGGGGAGGGGGGGTTGCCACAGTTGTTGAAGAACCTACGACCTAAAGCACAGATTGTTCCATCCCTGGCTTTCCGCATTTCCCATCTCAGACGCAATGCAGAAACATGATCGGGATTGGAAAGGATGCGTCGCGAGAAGGAACGAGGCCCATCACAAAGACTGACAATTGAGTGGCTGTCAAATGACGAAACATGCCTGAGAGGCCATCCACCGTGGAGATGGAGCGATGCCATCAGCTTTTGTGCAAGTGCTGACTACGACGTGCTACAACATTGCGGGACTGTGAGATGTGGCAAAGGCTTTCATCAAGCAGTGGACTGATCATGAATAATGGTGATGTGACACACACAGAAGTGCATTGGTGTCACGTTCATGTGAATGTTGTTACCGAGAGAGCCAGAGGCAGTAACCTATACTTTCAAGTCCTCATCTCCAAACTAATGCCCATACAGATCAAGCCCTTTATATCCAAGGCTAGACACCCCCATTATTATAAGGTGACGGGTTTTGGTAATAAACATAGGTGCTAACAAATGCATGGATACCCGACCACAAGCTGTGTAGTAGGTTACTGCCTGTCAATGGAAATAGCCAAATTAGCCAGGTGCATTCCACAAGCAGAAAAACAAGAATGTAACACAAAATATAAGAAGCTTCCGTGTGATCATACCGTACACAGGTAGTGATATATACACGCGAAAATAAATTATCAGGCATCAGCTGGGGATAGAATACTTATTGGAACAAGCCTTGCAACTATTTACTGGTTATTATCATTCATGCATGACTACGTTTAATGTATGTAGACGGAATGTGTGTGTCAATGTTAAAAAAACCAGTAGAGGAGTCACAAGTTAGTTCTGCTCCTGGTGCAAATCTCAAAACACTGAATAAAAAAACTTGGCCTTCAATTACTAACCACATTTACATATTAGCACTTTCCTGGGAGAGATGGGCTCAGGATGATTTTGCAAGCCTGCGACGAGTGCTTTGGAGACACGGCAGAATGATCGGAGTTATTTTTTCTGATTTTAGGCATTTATACTCAACTGTGTATTATTCCTGTGGTATTAATTTAAACACAGGGAGCACATAGGCATTATCGTGGTAATGTAGGAACAACTTGCGCGGAAATCCAGTCGTTTCTGCAAGCCAAATATTCCACGGCGTGGCATGCCAGCTTGCAAATATTCCACAAAATTATAATAATCTTGGCCTTAAATAATAAAACAAAAGAGAGCACGTGATTATGATTTGCTGCAGCCCATGACCTTTTCACCGAAAGGATAATCCAACTGGCCAAACATATGAAAATATGGGACAAGGCGACAAGAATGTACATACAACATAATGCATAAAAAAACACATACAATGCAATGTCCTTAATTCGGAACATAAAATATACATGGTCACAGCGTAAATGATAGCGTGTTATGGATTTTTTTACCATCAAAAATAAATGAGGGTCTGTTAGAGGGCATTCTTAACGTATTTATCACCACTGCCAATCAGCAAGTCATGAAGCAAGACAGCCGTTCAGTTGCGCGTCCCTGGCAATTTATTTACCATTCTCCTTCAACGGCATGCATTTTCTTTGGGGAGGGGATATGAAAATAAATTCTGCCAGGAATTCTTTTGCACTTTTTTTTAGTTTTCTCTGCTGCAGAACTGTTGGCACAAGAAGCCTGGATCACCCGCAATGATTTCCAAAAAAAAAGCAACGATGTGAACATGGGATTTTCAAAAAATAATTTCCCAATCGGTTGGTCGTTTCTTAAAATCACAGCAAACTTTGAATAAACACGCAATGCACTTGTGATAAGAGTATCAAATTTGTCACCAGTATCATGTGAAACAAATGGCTAAATTAAACATGTTGAATATTATATTTAACTTTAGATTTAAAGATTTCGTGACTGCAGGGATTCATCTTCTTGGTTCTTTCGGTAAAGTCACGTAGAAGGGAAGTAATAAAATAATAAAAATAATAAAACAATTCTCACGACGTTTCGGTTTTCACCTGAGGACGGCTGCTTGCGTTGTGGCCGAAACGTCGTGAGAATTATTTTATTATGTTTTATTTTTATTATTTTATTACGTGACTTTACTGAAAGAACCAAGAAGATTATATTTAACGTTTGAGCACACCTAACCACAGCACCCATAAGCCACACGAGCTAAGCTGTTGGGAGTATGAGAGCCAATATGATTGGCTACAATGCTTTAAAGCAAGTCAGCTGCATGACTGCAATAAACACACATCTCCCAGCAGGCAGTTTCAGCCTCCCATGGAGACACAAGGAGTGCAATATGATCTGCAATAGAAAATGAACAAATCAAATAACGCATTCTCAATCGGGGGTCCGGGCCAGCCTTGGGCTTGTGTCACTTAACATCTGGAAAGGACTAACAACTTCATCATGTAGCGGAAAATAAAATGCCCTTTCGGTACCCGTACTTTCTGTTCTCCTCCACAGTAATTCACATTCGGACTTAGCTCCAAGCCAGGTGCCCGGCCACCTCCCCAAGCATCCCCTATCCATCTGCAGCCAAACAACAATGGAGCAGTGGCATTCAAGTCGCAGTTTTTGCTGCTTGGGCAAGGATCCCTATGAAGGGAATGAAGGATGAGCTCTCGTCTCTTAAATCCTGGTGCACGGTCAACAGGTTGTTCATTCGCCCGTTAAGCGAGGCCGACCTTGCCCATACATGACACTCCCGTCGGAAGAGTTCGTAATGCGGCCACCTCAACCCATGGCGAAAGAAAGCCTGCCGCCCTGCCATCCCAGCTACAGCACGGGCAGCTCCCGTTCTGTATTGCAAGAGTGCTGAGGAATCATCCTGTCAGTGAACCACACTGAAAGGAGTCAAACACGGTGTGCGGGCGCCTTTATCCAACAGTTTATTAATAAAGGGCTGAAAAGAATTACCTCTTAAAATAATTTTCAGTATCACCCGAATTCCAGTAGTGTTCTTTATTTAAATGAGATGGGGGTGGAGTAAATCGTGAATCCTTGCTTAAGCAAAAATAAAACCTGGTTACTTTTGAGGCAGAGATCATGTTTAGGAAACGACATCTACACAATAACGGGCAACAAGGTCATTACCCTCCCAAACATGAGCTTCGTGATGCTGTCAGATTTCCTTGGGTGAACCATAACATTCACTCACATATGACAGCGAGCACAGGTCAATCCTACTTACCTTCGCACGACCAAGGAATCTGGAAAATTACAACCGACACAGGAAAATAACCCACGTCTCTTCTTGCACACTCACTCATGCATGGCACCATATCTCTCTCCCCCTCTCTCACCGTACCTGGGGCAGGTGCAGCTGTAGGCCCTCGCTGGGGATGGGCTGGCGGCTCGGTGCTACGTCCAGCTGGACGTTGAAGATGTTCTGCAAGGCAGCCTGTGCCGCGCGTGCCTTGGCCAGCTTCTTGTTGCGCCCGGAGCCCTCAAAGGTCTGCTCGTCCAGCGTCACCGACATGACGAAGTTCTTGGCGTGGCTCTCGCCCGACTCCGACACGTAGTCGTACTTGAGGCCCGGCCGCAGCTCGTTGAGGATCATCACGGGGTTCTTTCCGCTCGCCGTCACAAGCGACGCCAGGTTCTGCGGGAAGGGGCTGTCGAGTGGGGGCTTCTGATCAGCCACGGAGTGACCGCCCCCGCCGTTTGTGCCGGCCGTTGCCGCCACCGCCGCGGCTGCGGCGGCCGCCGCGGCCGCCGCAGCCGCCGCGGCCGCCGCAGCCGCCGCGGCCGCCAATGCCTCGGGCTCTGGAGGTGGCAGCTCAAAGCCGTTAAAGAGCACGTCAGGCAGCTCGCCCAGGTCGGACGTGAAGTCGGCGGCCATGATGGGCACGCGCACGCCACCGCGGGCGAGACAGGCGTCGTACTCGTTGTGGAACTGCACGAACGAGCGCATCGCCTTCTCGGCCGCCTGCTGCTTGGCCTTCTTCTTGGTGGGGCCGGAGCCCTCGTACTTCTGGCCGTTCACCTCCACGGCCATGATGAAGCACGGCGCGTGCACAGGTCCTGTCTGCGACACGAGCGTGAACTGCAGGCCCGGCTGGATCTCATTGAGGTGCATGAGCGCGTTCTTGGGTAGGGCCGGGCCCGGCACCTTCCTCTTCTTGATGGGACGCCTACCCATCAAGAAGCCTCTCTCGCCATTGTTGCCGCCGTCTTCTAGGGGCCGCTTTCGCGGGTTGTTGCCATTCGCAACACCCCCGAATAGACCGCCGGTTGTGGCCATGTTTTCTTTGACGTCAGCGCCGACTGAACCTACGACGATGCCCAAAAGGAGCAACTTATGACACTTTTGTTGTGGGATCTTGTAAATGACAAGATCAAACAGGACAGAGGACTTTAACTTTACTCTGGACAATGGATGACTTTTTGTTTCAATGAACACGACGGAGTTTAAAGATTGCAACAAGGACAAATGGTGGATGAAAATGTGGTCTGCAGTCCTACATTTTTTTAATCGCGTGGGTGATCAAACCCGGAACTGTCGCAGATTTCTGGCCGATTTGCCCACAAGACAGGAATTTGGATGAATGTTGCCGAGAAGGTAGCACTACCGCGTTAGCCACTGAGCCTTCGTACCTTTAATATTTTATTGTTTCAATTGCATGACGCCAACTGTTATATGGTCCGAAAACTGATTGAGAATATTTGCCAAGAAATTAAGATTTGGGAAACAAGGGTTTGAAATTTCAAGCACTGCAGATGTTTTTCGAAAGCATAAAGAGTAATATATGAGTGATATATTGTAAACATGGACAAGACGTAATAGAGTATAATGTTAATCTTGTGAATTAAAAAGGAAAGAATACAAAATTTAATCAACTTATATTGGCATAATTAAAAAAATAATGAGTTCAAATGATAAATTTCAACTAAAGTGAGAATGTAGTGACAAGGTAGGTGAGCACATCGGAATGAAAACCATAATTATTCCATATGGCCACCAATTAACAATAATTGGTATCCATGCAATCAGATTTGGACGAGAAAACAAACCCATTATAAAATACATATTGTAAGGAAATCAAAAACGCATGCAAACACAATGTGGCAAAGCACACCCATGGTTCCAGCAGTAAAGTTATTAAGCCTATTAACACTTTATAGTCTGGCGTGTTGCAACTGGTGTTTGAGAGCGAGATGGTGAGAGAGGAGAAAGATGAGAGAGAGAATGAGAGGCAGAGAGAATGTCGGGCATTGAGAGCGAAAACAGGTAGAAGACCCAGACTGTAAAGCATCAATAGCAACAACTCATTTATAACATCCTGCAGCAAAAGGGCAATAGGTTACTCTTAGAGGGCACTCAAAAAATGTTTGAAATCTTGCTCCAAAATCAGGACAAATTACTACATTCAGGAAAAAAACAGCAGAACAGCGCATCGGTCAGTCAGTTGCACGCATTTGACAAATGATGCAAACGTTGCTCACGAAATAACACATGGGGCAATGCACATGGGAATAGTTATAAATAAACACGAAGCAATTCAATTATACAAAATTAAAATGGAACATGCATTGAGAAAGATACGAGCGGTGTCAAATGCAAACCACACGTCTCACTAAAAAAAATACAATTTAATTGATTAATAGCAGATATTAAGCAAGTTTAAAAAAAACTATAGTAAGATCTAGCTCCAATTAAGTATGCGATAAAGCAGCAACTGTTTCCAAAACCAGAAAACCAAGGACATTTGGTTTGTATTAATGGTTAATGTGCCCCAAAGCGTTCATAGATCACAACAACAAAGTATTGCTGATCACTTGTTTCAAGCCTTGAGTGCAGTCATGAGAGTGGAATTAAAAGAGAAAGCATAATTTTTGAATTTCATATTCTAAAAGGAAAGCCCATTGAAGTTAATGATTTAACAGGGGACACCAGGCAACAAGTTATTAAATATATTCCATGATAACGATGTTATTATATAATTTAGCTCCGTCATTTTCAAGTTTGGATTTCAGGCCATGATGCCAGGCAAACAGGTGAATATGCCACAGGGTCTGTAACAATCACTTCCGATAGAAACGGATCCCTAGCAATGAAAGATTGGTGTTTGAGGCAGGAGGAATAATTGTGTCATTTTATGGATCTGCGAGCTGGGGATTTAACTAGAAGCCTTTTAACACAGGCGCATGCTAAGGATGCTCGGAATTTCATGGCAAGATATGGTGGGTTACACAGAAATTTCAAATAAAAAGGCAGATGATAAATTGTTGTAAATTGTAATAAGTAATTAGAAATTGCATGTAAAATGGTGGAAGACAGATCACCAAGACAGGCATCGGAATGGCACCCAGAGGTCAGATCTAAAAAGCCAGGTGGTGGAATAGTATGAGAGGGCATTACAATATATATTTTTTGCCAATTTATCCTTAATGTTAATACTGGTAGGAACTTCCTGGTTACACCAGCCCACAGGGGATTATTGTGTCCGTCCGTCTGTCGTGCAGGGAGGGGCTGGGTGGGGAGGGGCTGGGTGGGGAGGGTGGGGCTGGATGGGGGGTGGGACTGGGTGGGGAGGGGCTGGTCACCCCGTGGTGCCCTTATAAAACGTTTAACCTCCTCACGTCGGCTTGTGCCCGCCCTCACAGTCGGGCATATTTGTGGAATACACCACGCCACAGTTGACCCTGGCCATTGAACGAGCAACCCAACATTCCTACCAGCTACCTCCGCAGGAATGTGTTTCCAATGAGCTATTGGAGTCATGCAATGAGACAAAACATTCGGATCTCTTGCATAGCACTGCAACCCTGGGAAGCGGATAACACAGCTGTCCGAGATCCCTTTAAGTGACCTCTGATCCACACGGGAAGAAGCAGTATGAGAATGATGCTCGTCATGTGACAGTAATAGTAATTTTCGATTTAAAGCTTTCGTGACTGCAGGGATTCATCTTCTTGGTTCTTTCGGTAAAGTCACGTAGAAGGGAAATAATAAAATAACAAAAAGAAAACATAATAAAATAAAATTCTCACAACGTTTCGGCCACAACACAAGTTGCAGTTACATGCTAATTCCTCACATTAACATCATGCTAATCTCCCAGTTACATGCTAATTTCTCACTTTAATATCATGCTAATCTCTCACATTATCATAGCAACTTTTATGCTAAATTCCTCTGTTCATATGTAAACTTCTTTGTCAAGGTGCTCTGCTCCTCCCACCCAGCTTAAATACGCTGCCAAGCTTAGCAGTGTTCATTGGAGCGCTGTCTTTCCGACAGCTCTGTTTCTTCACCTGAGGACGGCTGCTTGTGTTGTGGCCGAAACGTCGTGAGCATTGTATTTTAATGTTTTATTTTTATTATATTATTATTTCCCTTCTACGTGACTTTACCAAAAGAAGAAGAGTAATAGTAAAAATTTTGATTCTCAGAGCTGAAATGTATCCAGATTAAGTACAGCACCATATTTTGTGATGTTTTTTTTGTGTGTGTGTGGTCATTCATGATCAGATTCAGACCATTAGTGCACTATACTTGAGTTTAACCATTAGGCAGCTGTCGAGATTCAAGCCCAGGATCTCATTAATGGCAGCTCAGCGCTCTCCCCCCTCTGACCTCTGAACCACCCAGCAACCTCATTGTCATAAACCTTGATCTTGAGTGGGAATCGATCCATCCATCCCATGCTGAATGTATCAGCAGTGAAGGCACCAAACACTTTCATCGGACCAGGATTTCATGCATCTATCCGATAGGCAGTAAATTTGAGGATTTGAAGATGGCCTTGAATGCAAATCTTTCTGGAAATGCAGTAAACTATTCATCTGCTCCACTTAAATTGGACAGGCTTATTGAAGGGGGGAGTGTAACCACCGCACATGAGTGACAGGAATTTTCATTGGGCTTTGGAGCACACAAAAGATGCCGGACCACAAATACTGATGCACACGCATCAATTTTCTCGTACAGGAACAAAAATATAGACGACAAAAAAAGAACTCAAGTATGCAAGCACAATAGTGTCTAAAAGGTAGGATGGAACAACTGTAATGCTTCCATGACACACGTTTAAGGAGCTGCAATGCCATTAAAGAGGTGCGTATCCACATTTTCGAGCATCTGTATTTGTATGTCATTCCTCAATGCACACTGCAGAGTAGCCAAACATTCCCTTTAATATATGAATGATTAAAAGATTTGTTGCTCCGACTACCTAGACATATGAAAAATGACCCACACTCTTCAAATGTAAATTATAAAAAAAAAAGCTCCGTTACTTTTATTGGCGGCCTTCAGTTAAACTTTTATACGCCATTCATCATTTAAAAGTTTGGTGACTTTTCTGAAAAAGAGAGCAAACTTGACTCTGCTCAGAAGTGTTCAAAGCCGAGATGTGATTGAAAAAGAAAAAAGATGCATCTTAAATTAAATGAAACGTGTCCACCCATGCTTTATTTATCTGCTACTTACCTCCTGAATAATGCACGATAAATAAAGCAAATAAAATATATATATCCATTCGCCACGTCCCATGCACAGGGACACATCACGTGCAGGGAGCATAAAATTCAACTTGCACACATTAAGGGCCATTAGTTGTGGTTATTGCTTAAAGCAGGGTATATATTATGGATTACATATTGCCATCCCGGAGATGAAAGATGAAGGGCCCCGAAGATGCATCATCATGGTCCCACTTTGTCGACAAGGTTATTGCGTTACCACGAGCAGTGCGAAATGTCGACTGGGGAACCACTACAACACCGCTGATAAATTTAATGCAGCTCCTAACGCTAGCTGGTATTAGTTTCTCCCACAAAACGAGATTCTTGCTGCTACTGCAGCTGCTGCTGCTGCGTCACAGCCAAGCATCCCAATGCAGGACCCTCCTGATTGAGTCTCGAGACTCGACGAGTCGTTTCTGCACAGCCGTTTTCTCAACCTATTGCTGGGTAAGGGGCCTCACCATGTCATGAGCATTATTTGAACATACTTCACCAGCATGGTTAGTTCAGCAGGTTGGTGAACACGGGGAGCATTGATGGACGAGTTCATATACAATGGACGAGAATATACAATTTGTGCATGGTGGTCACCCATCCAAGCAGTGTCTAGGCTCAAATATACTTATCTTCCAAGATTGTATATGATTGGGTTTCATTCTAGGTGAACTGGTCATAGGTAAACGACCAATATCACTTCTTATTGATTAAATAGAGCCAAATGGCATGGTTCACACACTCACCTAAAAAGACGTGTTATGCTTTTGGGCTATATTTCAAGGGATTTTCTGCATCCCTTTCTTTCGTATGTAATATCTGGGGCATGTCCAGTGTTCATTAAAATATGAAACTACTGCTTGTATTGAAGCTCAATATAGCCAATATCTAAAACCACAAGAAATAATCGTGCACAGGTGATAATTTAAACGAGCATTCTGTGGCAAAACAAAGTTGGCTTCTGCGGGCAAAGCTCGTGCAATATTTACACGAAGTGACTCCATTAGGCCACGTGAAATTTGCGTGTTTACAAGCGAACCTGTGCTTTATTTGGAAATCATTAATTATTAAACGTGCGCGGTTAATTTGGGCTCAACGCAGACGCACAACGGGCCCTCTCTTGCAAAGTGCCGCAGGGGTCTTTAATGTACGCGGGCGCACGAGGCCTGCTTTTTTTGATACCATGCCAGCAGCACAATTATGTATTCAATTGTCTCCGTGTAATGGGGTAAGCCGAAAAGAGGAGCTGAGCGGGAACATTGTTTATTAAGAGTGGAACAAGGTGGATTATTGTATGGTACTGAACGCTGGCTCCCACGTGCAACAATTCATCGGTGGGATTCAGAGCAAGAAAGACTTGCCTAAGGGAAAGTTGTCAGTTTCGCCTTTTGCGGCATCACAACAAAGCAGGTGTACTAATTGATAGGTAAATTGGCTTCTCTCCTGGTTACAAATAAACGCTACGACGGCCGTGGGATATGGCTATGACACGTAGGACAGCGCTGTCCACTGGTAGACGTGGAAATCTGCACAACACTGGTAAATCTCAGGATAAAAGTCGTGCACCCTCCCATAAGATCAGTGTTTTCTGCTACTCCCAATAAAAGCCAGATAATGTCCAAATTGTGCAACAGATTTCACATAATATATAGACTAGCCTGCACGTTTGAGCAATCTTGAAACGCCCGCGCCAGGCTAATACTCTCATCAAAGGCAGACATTGAAGTTATCACTTCATATTAAGTGAGGTAACAAGAAGGATTTGACGTTTCCAATTAGTTTAAGATGTTCTTCTTACTCATATCACCATCACTCCCATCTTCCATCTTCATAGCCTCCTCCTGGTCATCACCTGTCAAAAGCACAAGTCCCAAGAGGCGTCTGTTAATCACGAATCCACAATCAGTCAACGCACGATCAATTAGCTGCGCAAATGGGGCCCGGACAATGAACACCAATGTCTTTTGGAAACGCCAGGGTGATAACACAGTCATTAAGGGGTAGAATAATACCGGCACCTGGCCCTTTTGAATGGCAAATGTACGCACACTTTGTTCTCTGAATTAATTTCTAATGAAGTGTTTAAATGCATTCTCATTCAATATGCCACATGCTGTTTTAGAATAAAGGGTTTCCCATTTAGCACACTGATTATCTGGCTGCACCAATCGAGTGCGTTCGTTAATTTCTTAGTTTCCAGGGGACAGGCTGATGGTCGAATGAAAAATGCTGATGACAAAAGAAGCTGTTGCGTTGAACAGTCAATTAATTCAGGGAGCGGAACTATTAAGGCCGTAACCTCTTTGTGGAATGGTCATTATAGAAACCCATTGTTTGGCCTCCATGCTATTTACAATTAAACCATTCACTTTCAAGTCCAGTTACATCACTATTGATATGCTGCACATGTACAGCATGTGTATTTAATCAACATGCAACGACGTTATTTTAATTCACTGAAAAGGCATACCAAGTATTTCTTTAAAGCAACAATTAAAGGTTGGACACAAGAAAACTTGCCAAATGTTAGTGGTGCGACCACATGGCAATATAAATTTAAAAAATTAACCCGTAAAAACAAAGTTTTTCACTATAAATCCTTTATATGCGTGGCGGCTAGAGTCCTCTCGTCCTCTGGCTTGAGATGGCTGCCACCTACGGGTCAGATGATTGTCTGGCAGCATTAAGCAATTGGTAATTAAGTATTTTAAAAAAATTCCCTAAACAGTGTAAAATTTTGGAACAAAAATTTTCACTAAAATTAATTGTCAGGCACAACGAGTCTGTGTGCAAAATGTCAGCTCGACTGGATCATGGGAAGTGGGTTAAAAAACGACCGAAAGATTTGCACGGTCATAAGCAAGCAAGCACGCAAGCAAGCGAACTTAATATAAAGGATTTAAAAAGGCGACCGCATCGACCGAAAAATTACGTAAAATTTAATGCACAGCCTCGATGTGTTTTTTTGAAGCTGTCGGTAAATTTCAGGGGAAAGTAACCAAGGAATTTAATGAAAGCTGACCATCTGCCACGTGGATTTACAGATTAGGAATACAGCACAAACGGCACGTGCGTATCTAGCGATCCAATGCATGACAGAAGGTACCTACTGGCGCGAAGAGATGGGAGAAATGTCAATCTCCAATGTGCCATCCCAGGGCACCTGTTTCATTGCACAATGTGAATTTTAGGATTGTCAGCCAGGAGAGCACAACTTCTTTAAAGGCCCAATTCAAGCCAGGACACAAAGCGTGTGTCATGCGCACTCGGATGTGTGTGCGTTTGGGTTGTGCCACGTGTTTTTTCGGTGTAATAGCTGACGTTTCGTGCCGAGAGCTTATCGTCGTTTACGTTTTCAATGCGGGCAATGCACCACAGACTGGCGCAAACGCCAAATGACGTTCCAATCGTCGTCGGGCACAGTGCCGAAGAAAATCGATCCAGCTCGAAAACACGTTGGAGAGAGTTATACGGCACAGCCCGTAAAAGAAAGAAAAAAAGCTATGCAGCAGTGGCATGTTTTTATTAGTTCATGTTGATCGTATCGTGCAAAGAGTGTGGTTTTGAAGAGCTCAAACAGGCGAATGACCAATTGAACATATGTCTTGTTGACAAGTGCTAGGTTGCACCGTTTGTCTATTCGAATTGAAAATAACACTGTTGAGACAATGTAACCGCATCTATTCTTACATTAAAACGTGATTCATCAATACGCTATAATTACACGCAAGTGGCCTCTGTAAATAAGAAGTATCAAATATAATCAGATTTGTCACCTGCATTTTCAATGCGGGAACTGTTCGACTTCGTGCAAATGCTGCTTTTTTTTAGGGTGATGATCACGTCTTAAAAAGAGAGAAGTTCTCTGCGCGTAGGTCACACACGCACGCCCATTCCACTTTGAATATGACAGTCAAGGATTTTCTGATGATATCTGGCCCCTGTCAGGGCAGCATGGTAAGAGGGATGGTGTTTACATGTAAAATCTGCAGCTCTCTCCCGAGGATATCACCACCCAAATCAGACCTCATATATTCCCACTGCCATTGAAATTGTACTGCTTAGTGGCGATAAAAAACACACAATATACCTGTACGATTAAATATTAAAACAATCTTTGTAAAAACAAGCAAAGTGCACTCTATTAATTCTCGTAAATTATATACCCAGGTTCATTTAATTAATATGATCGGACAAAAGGTTAAATAGTTTGTGCATTGAATGAGTCTCTGCACATTATGTTGGCTATAAACACATTTTAAAAATACATTTGTAGCATTTAATGCAGGAGACAGACACCAAAGCCAGATACATTTGAGGCACACATTTAGTCTGTTCTAAATGTTCAAGTCACTGGCTGCTCGTTGCCTCGAATGCAGCGGTTCTCAAAGTGCGGTCCCCGGTACCACAGGGTGGTCCCGCAGGGCTGTGACGCAAACGCAAATTGATCCGGAAATAAAGACAACGTTTTTACCTTCGGTTTCGGACATTAATTGATATTTTACTGATGATATCATACCTGTCGCCCCCTTATCAGTGCCCTACCTTATTACAGACCAATTCAGACAGTATTGATCACCCAGTGCCCTTATAAATGTCAACGTTCATCCTACAAAGTCCCATCACAAGGGAAAAACACAAACAAATAGACAACAAAACATTTTTTGCCCTTATTGAAACGGCTGAATGCCGCATGGACCTGAAAACTCAATTTCCCTGTACAAGAATATGGGTAAACCGTATGGGTTGACAGATATGTGATATTTAATTTAAAAATGAAGTTAGATTAAACTATTCTAACCCCAAGATTTAAATGCCACTGCCCCAACATAAAAAAGAAACCTGATAGCGGCATTAAAAGAATATACGTCTTTACGTTCCGTTAATATGAATCATTTTGTATGACTGGTATTTTGATATTTGGAGAGAGAAGCGAATGCGTTGACACCAGGAGCAGGGGCTGGGTGGTCTGCTGAAATGTTTGCATCGGCCGAGTGGTCCGCGGGCGAACATAAGTTTGAGAAACAGCACTCTAATGCATTCGGGAATGCTACGACATCCACATTAAAGCTAGCTAGCGCACAAATGCTTTTGGGAGTAAAAAGGTGAACTGAAGTAGCCTTGCTGATGGTAATGCAGTGATATTTTATATGCAGCAAGTGTTAAAAAAAGCTTACAAATGGTTTATTGAGCACGATGCACTGGAATAATGCCAATAGGAATCTAAAACGTATCTAAGAGCAATACAACGCTATGTACGGCATATATCTAATATCTCCAGAGCATTCCAATCTTCTTCTCCGTTTGCGTTAATACAAGGACAGCAATTTAAGTAACTGGGACAGTGTGGCCCCATACGTATGCATTCATGTATATGAATTCACCACTTCATGCGGTACACATTTACACAGTACAATCTCATCCAGTCAGAATAATTTAGCCTGAAAGTTTTCGGAAATTCCTGAATTCAGGAGATGTATGTCCCACGGGAGCCGTATAAAACGAACATGCCATTTCATGCATCCCCTGTTAGCACACACGGACTGCTGCATATAAATAAGGCAAAATGTCATAAAATATGCAGTAAAACAATGAGAGGCAATAACAAATTGACAGCTTCACTTCCGGGCAGGTGTTTGATAATCTCAACTTTTCGAGGCCCTTCGAGTCATGGTCAAAATTGTCCTATTTTCATTCTCACTCGGTGCTAAGCGCGCACAAACTCGGCTCATTTTACTCATCGAATATAGGCTCAATTCAACTATGAGGTCGCTTCACAAAAGGCAAGTTTGGGGGCTCAATAGGTTATTTTATGTATTTTTACTAACTCCACGCTTGTCCATTGGGAGAAGTTATTCTCAGCTTAAAATAATTCCTGTCAGGGCATGGAACGTCAGCCTCGAGTAGGGCAGGTTTATTTTTGTTCCTCAATGGGAAAAAAATGGTGTCTGTTCTCTCGGGGTGCAATGATTCACCCCATCCCTGCGATTCCATTAATTGTCATGATTTGAGGTCACGATACAGCTCAAGAATCGATTTAGTTTGTTGGTAATTTTACGCCTCGCTTTCAGAGTTTTGTCCACCGCAATAGTCTAAACAGAGTATAGTGTGAAAAAGTCTAAATTGATTTTCACGCGCACAATCAGTTGCGTCTACCGAGAGTGTAAGAATCAATTATAATCGATGGAATGATTCGTCGTAACTTGTCTTCCATTCAAAGATGTTGAGTGTTTTAAACAAAAAAATCCACTTACACGTTCGTATTTACACCCGAGCTAGATGTCAGATGACGTTAAAAAACACAAGGGTGAAAAGTGCATAGAGAAACATTGCAGGAAGCATGCTTGCAATTACACCGAGTAACAAAAAGACGGACACATGAACTCAAGAAAATACAAATATAAGCCATCGCATTGATTACAGTATTTAAAAAAGTAAGCGGATTTGGGCAGGGCACGTTGCTCTCAGGGATGATAGCTAGTCAGTGGTCAAGGTTGAAAGTGGCAGCCAATGAAGGAAATGTGCCCCCAGAGTACACCCAGCTTCCACGGAAGCTGCAGCGACGGGCATCAGCTCTTGGGCAAGAGCTAAACCGATTGTCACATCGCAGAACCATAAGAGACGGTAATGACTATGGGAGGCCTTCATTAATCGTGACTGCTAACGCTAGTGTAGAATGTAACGCGATGGTGAAGAAAAACCACACCGAGGAATCTTTCACCCCGAATGTGGTAACAAGTCCAATGACCCGAGCACCTCAATATTACCAGAGTATCATGAACAAAATTACTCTGCTGCTCCAACAAGACCTAAAAGAATCCAAAAGCCACAGGCTTCAAATCCAGGAAACAT